GGGACGATGCAAGAGGGTCGCTCTTGGCTGGACGATCAAGGCAGCAACCCCCGCCAGCCTGGGATTGTTTAACTTTTTTATTACAACAAAGAGAGAAAATAACATGTGGTGCGAGCCAGCTTGCCCCTGGGCGAACCACGGGGATGAGGGCAGGAGCACACGTGGTCCAGCCCGCTCCAGCTCGCAGGATGGAGGACACCAAATGGAATCCAGATTGACCCAAACGTGCTCTTCCCTGGGCCAGGGTGATGACGGGACACCGAGATGTTTCCCATCACCAGCAAGCTCTTTCTCGCAGGACACCCATTGCCTTTGGGGTTTGCCAGAGCCTGCGGGCAGTGGGTGCCCCTCTCATGGTGGCCCTGAAGAAGAAAGACCATTTTGCAGCATATTTTTCCAGGAATAGAGGAATGAAGGAGCTCAGGGGCTGCAGCAGCGACACTGGCATTTGTGCATCCAACTCGGTGTGTCCAGTTTTGAAGGATAATTATAGGTCACTAATAAGAGGAAATATCTTTTGGATTTGAAGCAAAGCGTTGCACTGCAAAAGAAGGGGTTTGCTCAAGTCCCTGCCTGGGATAGGGATGCAAACGCAGCTGCTGCTGGGGTCAAGGCTTCCCAAAATGTGGCCTCCCCATCCCTGCACGCAGGAACCAGTGGCAGCTCTCCCTCTGCCACTGCCTCCTCATATATCCTCGGTTGAGTCACTTCTTAGGGCCATGTTTGAGCAACCCCCATTGCTCCTGGACATACAATGCAGCTCCAGGAGGAGCCAGTGTGAAGATAGGGACCAAAATACTGAGATGTTCCCCACCCCATGCTTGGCCGGCTGCCACCCAGAACCCCAGGCACTGAAAATCAGAGCCCAGCAGCGCAGGACCTGCTTGCTCAGGAGGTGGCAGTTCTCAGAAACCAGCTTCAGGTGAAAGGAAGGGGAAAAAGAAAGAAAAAAAAGAAAAAAAAGAAAAAAGGAAGTCAAAGCAGTCTCACGCGGAGCAGAGATAAAAATACTGCTCCTCCTGCAGCCACGGCTGAAGATGTACGAGCCATGACACAGGCACCACAGGTTTTCACCGGAAGGAGTCTTCCCGGCTCGTCTCAGCATGCCATCAATTTACGGGATGCACTGGATTTCATTAAAACGCTATAAAGAAACCAGCGCAAATGCAAATCCCATTTCCCTTCCCCTTCCTGTAAAAACATCTGGTCAACAGAAATGGCTGGGGACATTTCCGTTGCAAATCACGGTTTTCATGGAGTTTAGGACTTGGCCACGTAAAAGGCACTTGGGGCTGGGGCTCAGCTGATGAACAGGGCAGCCCCAAAACCCCGATGGGCTGCCCTAAAACATGCAAACCTATTTTGCCAGCTTTGGCTTAAATTTATGAAGGTGGAGAGGCCTCAGAGCTACCCAGTCCTACAAGTTATATGAGAATAAATGGTGTGGTAGCAGAGAGAGCCCTTAGTGCCTCCACGGAAAGCAGGGAGGACAGGTGAGCATGGCCCTCGTACTAGACATCAGAGCATCATCACTTCACCCTGGCACCAGTCGGTGGCACAGCATCCTCACACCCCTCCTCTCCCCGGCACGCCAGCACTTTGGCATGTCCCCAGGGTGGGGGTCCAGGTGCCCCCTGCCCTGCACTGGGTACCCTGAGGCCACCAGTGCCCTGGAGCCAGTCTGTGACCCGCTCCCAGGAGGGCTCCGGATCCGATCATCTCCAAACCCCTCCTTTGCAACATCATTTTTCCAGCACTCGAGGGAGGAAGGAGCGATGCCAAAACCAACCCAGCAGCAGCTGCAAGCATGGGAAGCCCCATTTCGTCCAGCTGAAGCTCCCATGAGATCGGCACATCCCTGCGGGATGGGATGTCTGTGCCAGGCAGCACCGCAGGGACCGCTGGCAGCTCTGGCACGGCTCACCGATGCTCACCCCTTCGCCCAGCGCAGCTCCAGTCACAGCCACCCAAGCAGTAAATGGGATTAGGGCTCTTCAAAGCCCTGCTCCCTTTGATGCCGGGCACGTTATGGGATTAGGCCGAGAGGGCCCCACTGGAGAGCACTGGGGGGAAAGTAAGGGGGAAAATAAGATAAAAGCTGCCAAAAGCAGAGTGATGGAGCAGCAGCTGAGGTGCAGTGGGGCATGCATGGGGCCACCCCCCCTTTCCCCATGGACCGTCATTGCAAGGTGCTGAGTATCTAGGGGCTTGGCTTGATGCTGTAAAGCTGGGAGGCTGAACCAAATTTCCATTTACATCATATTATTTAAAGGGTCGAGAGGGAGAAGAGGAGGGCGCTTCTGGGGAGACCTCGAGGGTGACCAAGCCTAATGGTCCAGAGACCAGCCAGGGATGAAAATCCTCAAGGACTGTTTTTACAGTTGCTTATTTAAAACCATTAATGTTTCATGATGATCAACAGCATCTTCAAATCGGAAACAGATCCACAACACGGGCGAAAGGCAGCAGCAAAGCCCTGTGAGCAAACCAGGGCTGGAGGATGGAGGGGAGGGGGCTCCCCGCAGCCTTCCCTGGGGAGTTATCGGTTATTATTTACCTATTTTAAAGGGAAAAAACCCCCAAAAACCAAAAAACACCAACAAGCTGTTCTGTTCCCACTGCTCTGCAGTTTGAACCCTTGCTGGGTTTGAGGAATGGGAGCCACCAGCACGGCGCACGGCTTTCCACCGCCCCCAGAATTCAACCGCAGTTACTGGGAAAGGGGCTGGATTGATTCTGCTGTAAATGAGCCAGGATCTGGCCCCAGCGCAGTTAATTAGAAAGGAAGGACCCGCCCTGAGAATATTTGCACAGGAAGCAATTTATGCCAGAGACTCACGAAATCCAGTGAGGAACATCCCCCCTTCCGCAGACCTGGCTGAGAAACCCCCCCCAGCTCAGGGCCCCGGGGGGACTGCAGGGTCCCCGGCCTTGCGGTGACGGGGGACTCACCAGGAAATCTCCATGGGACAGAGATTTGTTGCAAAGTGCAAGGAATAATGCTGCAGAGCACTGGGTGAACTTGCTAAATGTCTTGTTTTAAATGCCTCCTGCCCGTGGGTCAAAGCCGGTCAGGGGCTGCGGGGAGAGGAAGAATGTGCTGTGTGCTGGGCTTGCTTCCCAAGTGGAGGGAGGGGAAGAAAAAACAAAGAAAAAAGGAAAAAAAAAAAGGGGGGGGGGAACCAGTGTTTGCAAGCATTGGGTCCTGGGGGCAGAGGGGACACAGCGGGGGCCCGACCGGGCGCTCATCCTGTGGGACAAGGGTGCTGCTCCCATGTGCAAGTGCCAGTGGTGCGATGGCTCTGCTCCCTGCGTTGAGCCCAAAAGCCTTTGGGGGAGAAGGTTTGGCAGAAAGGAGGACTTGGCTCTCCCTCGTGGCTGTGCCGGGTCACCAGGGATTTTACCCGGTGTGGAGACAGCCAAATCCATTGCAGCTATAATGTGCACCGGGAAAAAAAACATAGGTGCTGGGGCTTGGTGCCTGGGTGGCAGGGGGCACGAGTGAGTGCCCATGGAGGGGTTTGTTCGGTCCCGACTGCCAAAGCCCCCCCACACTGGGGAGCACAGCCCCCCTGGGAGGGCATCCCCTCGCTTCGCTTTTAGGTTTGGCTCTTGCAAAGCCCCGAGGACAGGTCTGGGCAACAGGCACCGAGGATGAGGAAGAGCAAAGCCAGCAGCAAATTTGGCAGCAGCGCCTGAAATAGCACCAACCCAACGCCTCCTTGCCACCAGTTGGGCTGTTCCCTGCGGTGGGATCCAATGTGCCCAGTGCCATCCAAGTGAGCGGGGGTCCGGACCACGCCACCACCCAGCGGTGCTGCCCGGCTGCTGGGAGCACCCTCCAAGAGCCCCAAAATGATGCCGTTCAGAGCCAGACCTCTCCGTGCCCTGGGCTGGGGACACATGCTCCCATGGGGACAAACAACCGCAACTCCCAACGCAATGGAGCAAAACTGCCTTTTACTTTCAGATTTCACAATTTTGGTGGTGTTTCTGTTGGTTTTTTTTTTTTTTTAAACGTTTAATATTGGGGTGGTTTGACAGAAGTAGCAGGAATTTAGCCAGCTCTTCCCTGGCCCAGTGCCGTGGTGAGCAGCAAACACAGCCTGAAGGCAGGGACAAGGTTCCGGCTCTACCCAAGGCTTCCTCCTTCTGAAGCACAAGTTAGTCAACAAAGTTAAACGAGCACAAAAAGAAAAAAAAAAAGGAAAAAAGAAACAGAAAACCCAGCCCATCACGCCTGCGTAAGACCTGCCATGTGGAGGAACTGTCTTTTTAAAGATTAAACACCACGGCTCCCCCCGCATCGCTCCCCGTTCACTCACATCCTGCATCATCTCCGCTCCAGCCGGCATCTAAGCACTACGGGAGCTCCCCAGGGTAGCTGAGATCTGAATTTCTGGCCACAAAAGTACTTACAAAAATAAAATTAAACTCCCTTACAGATCCCATGGGGGAGCAGAGGAAGGCACAGAGCCTAATTTCTATTTTCCCCTTCCTTTCCCAACTTGCCCTGGCGATCAGATGCCCTGGCTGCTGAAACCAAGGCACAGCAAGGACAGGGTGAATTTGGGGTTCGCCAGACCCGGTGACCCCCCACCTTGCTGGGATGGCTCCACAGGGCTGGGAACAAGCGGTGCAGAGGCCACCAGCCGCTGTCCTCAGCTCTGCATCTGAGGGCAAAGCAGGCGCTCTGCTTCTAGCCAGTAAAGCCAGGTTTGGGGTCCCAGCAAGAAGAAATACAACTGCATCTCGACCGATTGCAATAATTAGTGCTCACATCGCCCTTGGCACATGGTCACAGCATCTTTTGCCCCCTGAATGCAGCCCTGAACACAAGCCTGCGGCAGTGGCTCTCCTTCTCAGAGGTCTCAAATACAGGGCGCAGCCTCTGCTCCTCCTCACAGAACGTGCTGGCACCCTGGCATCGTCCCCAACCCGGTGCCGAGGGACCCGCAGCATCGCCTGGCCGAAACGGGCAAGAGCCGGCAGGTCCTTACCTTTGGCGGGTCAAAAAGCTCCAGCACGTACTCCTCACCGTCAGGTGTCCCCGCTCGCCGCAGAACCAGGCGGCAGCGCTGCCAGCGCGTCCCGCTGTCCAGGAAGGTCTCATCCAGCAGCCCGTACTTGAGGACCCCCTCTTTGCGCACCTCGGGGGCCTGGTCCCTCGACAGCCCCCATGGCAGGATGCGCTTGCTCAGTCCCGGCTTAAAAGCAGCCTCTGCCGCGGCCTCCCCGTCCCCATCCCCGGGGAGGGCATCTGAGGAACGGCGTCGGAAGAGGCTGCGCCAGCTCCTGCGCAGCTGGCTGAGCGAGAAGGGCCGCCGCGCCGGCCCCGCCAGCTCCTCTGAGCTCCAGGACTTGCGCAGCCCCGTCGAGGCGGCCTCAGGGGCTCGGCCGGGCTGCTCCGGGCGGGCGCTGGGCTCCACCTCGGCTTTGGCGACCACTGTGCCCAGGGAGGCATCCGTGTGCCGCCGGTGCGTCTCCCGGTAATCCCGCGCCGGGCCGGTGGGCAGGATGCGGAGCTGGTTCATGGCAAAGCCCTCCTTCACCTCATGGCAGAAGTACTGCTGGAAGAGGTCGGTGAACTGCACCGAGAAGTTCTCAGCGGCCAGGAGGTCATGGTGCGGGTGCTCGGTGGCAAAGCGCAGGTAGTGCCGCGCCAGCTCCTTGGCGGTGCTGATGGCGTGCAGCTCACAGAACTCATGCCAGCCCCGGGGATGCGCTGGCGTGCCGGCTGGCAGAGCGTGCCCATTCATTGCCGTGGCTCCAGCGAGGCGGCCGCGCTGCAAGACAGAGCACACCGGCAGCGTCAGGGCAGCCCTGACACCCCGACGCCTTCCCCCAGCCCCTGCAGCCCCCAGCCAGCACGGCTGCATGCCGCTCCATATGCGTACCCGCAGGGCAAGCAGCCTGGGGCACGCCGTGGTTTGCTTGGACCCTGGTCAAAGCCACCGAATTCACCGGCGCAGAGCGCAGGGACAGGCGCTGCAGCCGGCCAAGGGGCAGCCGGCTCCCCGGTGAGCGGCACGGTCACGCAAGCAACTGCTACGGCTCGCCACCTGGTGCCGGTGGTGGCCACTCAAGACGCCGAGCACCCTGCCCCACCGCGACGCCTCGTATCCCCATCCCAGCCTGGCAGGGCCGTGCCTCAGTTTCCCCACCTGCGAGGTGGGGTGCAGGCAGGTCCCAGAGCGGGGCGTCTGCACGGCTTCCTGCCAGCACAGCTGCCTGCAGCTGCCCGCCGCCCCGCAGGGACGCCCGGCCAGGCCGTATCCGCTCTCCTCCTGCCAAGGCTTCGCAGCGCCGATGGGTTTCCCTCCAGGGACCTATTTCAACAGAGCTGATAAAGCTGGAGTGCGGGCGGGAAGGGAGGAAACAACATGAAAAGCTGCAGAAATCCAGGGACAGAGCTGCCTCGCTTGCCAGACCCACCCAGCCCCACCGGCCCCGGGGAGACGCAGCCGCCGACACAGCCAGGGATGAGCACGTGTCCCTGGGGGGATGCTCTGCTGCCTGTGGGACTGAGGGGCAGTCGGGCTCTGGCAAACCACGCCGTATCTCTGCCCCGAGCAGATTTTGCTGCGAGGCCAATCTGACAGCACCCACGGCCGGTGTGCAGCAGCCCCGGCGTGCCCGGCTGAGCCCAGCAGCAGCATTCCCTACAGCCAGCCCGGCTGCACCGCGTTGCTTACCGCCGAACCTCGTGCTCACCCGCGGCACTTATCGGGGCCATGCACTCCGCTCAGGCAGGAAACATCGGCCAACCCGCCCGGATCCTGCCGCGCCGGCACGGGCACCGCCGCCTCCCCGAAACTCCGGCTGCCAGGCAGCAGCACCCTGGCTGCTGGGAGGGGAGGAAAAGTGATTGCATTTGTTGGGAGGAGGGAAAATTAAAAAAAAAATAAAAAAATAGAGGGGCTGGGAGGAAACAAGCGGGGCGATGCAGAGCACGGCGGATCTTGTTTGCAGCCGGGGAGGCGATAACGCCGGGAAGAGGACCTCTATCTCTGCCCACCCGCCACCCTTCTTAGTACGTCCTGTGAAGTTTCTAGGCGAGGGGAGATGTTATCTGCCGCCCGCCAGCCTCGCTGGGGCCTGGCTTCTCAGAAGAGCCGCCCGAAGCTCAGGACCGGCCGGCATTGCGGCAGTGCCGGGCGTGCGCCCGCCTGCGGCCCGGCCGAACCCCCCGGCAGGGCCCCCGTCCATGACCGTCTATCAGTGCCGCCAGCCTGCCGATGACTCAGCATCCTTCAGCTGTGCTCCCGCTTCCTCCTGGCACCCGGGAATTGACGCCACGGCCACCGGTACCGCCGGCACGCTCAGCGGGATGCTCCCCCGAAACACGGAGGCAAGCGGGGCACCCGTGTGGATGGCTCCTCAGGTGGGTGGGAGATTCCCAGAATAGGGAATTCGCCTTCTAAGTTTTCGGGCTTGCTCCACACTGGTTTCGGGAGAGGTTTGCGGCACGGGAAGAGCCGGGCTTCGCCTGCGCCACGCAGCGAGAAGCAGCCGAAGGCTGCCTCCGGTAGCAACGTGCTTTTTCCAACTGGCATGATGATGGGAAATACACCCCCAGCGCTTCCTCCTGCCGGCACCGGCACAAACAGCAATGCTGTCCTCCCTGCTCCTGCCTGGCACACTCCCCACGTGGAAAGGGCTATCCCGGATGAATCCGCGCATGAGCTACCGCAGCAGCATCCCACTCCTCCGCCTGGCCCCAGGTTTTGGCAGGGACATGCCACAGGGATGTGAGAGCCCACTGCCAGGTGGGCTTCTCCCTGCTCATCGCGCTCCACGATGCCGGAATTCAGCAGCCAGTGGCTTTAAGGCAGACTTTACATCCGCAACCCTTATACCCTATACATTCCTACAAGGGAGTCCCAGCTGTCCTGCAGGTCAGCGCCAAGCCAAAGGAAGTGTCACAACAGCTAATTGCCTTAATTTGTACTGAATGGAGAGTTCAGCCCACCCTCAGACGTGCCACAAGCTGGTTGGGATGGGGGGGCTAATGTCCCCCAGGCCACTGGAAGAGTTGTACATCACCCAGCCCGCCCCGTCTCGGGGCCGTTTTGGGGTGCTGGGGTTGTTTTGGGGTGCTGGGGTTGTTTTGGGGTGCTGGGCCAGAAGCTTGAGGTAGAGCAGGACAGGACAGACCAGCCACAGGCTGGCTTTGATGCGGGCTGGGGCGGCGAGCCCCGGCTTGTGCAGGATCCAGCCCTGCAGCCGAGCCGCCCCCAGGAGAACTCATTAAACTCTTGCCCAACCTGGCAAGTATTGCTGCGGTAGCGGGTGCCGGCATCAGCTGGGACAGTAACCCACGGGTTGGATCCGGCAGTGGGTTATTTCTGCCTTTGTGGTAACAAAAAATCCCAGTAAATGCATTTGTTGTTTAATTGCAGCCAGAAGAGCCGGCAGCACCAAGCGGCACCAGGGCAATGCCGGGAGCCACCACAGAACAGCCGCGCAGGGGGCTGCAGCTGCACGGGAAGGGCACCCGCCAGCACCCAGCACTGCAAATCCGGCCTTGAAGGGAAACGTTCCGGAGCAGAGACCATGTCGCTGTGCCCTGCGCCGAGCAAGCCCTGCTCACACACGCGTGCGTGCACAGGCAGCCCTGGAGCATGAGCAGCGCAGCCAGTGCACCGCAATCCGAAAATGAAACCGGCCCCAACTCTTTGCCATGACTCTCCACGCCAGGAAAATGCATGCCAGCAATGTAAATAGGAAATTTGATTTGTGTGCCAGCTCTCCCAGAAACAACTGTTCCCCAACTGGAGGACAAGCGGCCGGCGGCATTTTCAGCTCCCTTTTATAAGCACAAGGCTATTCAAAATTCACCCCAGGACTATTTTCAGGAGGGAGCAAAGCGAGGGGCTGGGAGACGCCCTCGCTGGTCCCGCAGCTTCCAGCTTCCCGAGTGGCAGAAATACAAAGTTCCCACAATCCCAAGAGCGGGAACATTGTTCCTTCCCAGGATGTCCTCCATGAAAAGAGCTATTCTGAGCCGGCAGCAGCCTTTCTTGGCACGGCCCCGCAGCCCGCTCGCGAGGCAGCTATAAAAGGCCGGGTTACAATGAACAGCACTTTTCAATGGGAGAGTATCCGGTGTGGGGGGCTCGGGGGGATGTGGGTCCCCGAGGGATCCAGCCCACCCAGGGTGGGTTCACAAGGGCTGGGTGGTGCCGAGCATCCCCCCAGGATGGTGCCAGTGCAGCCTCTCTCTGCCTCCCAATCCCCCAGGGGCCGCAGTGGCGGATGCTGGAAGACCGGCTGGATGCAGCCCTGGGTTGAGAGCACAGAGGGGGACAAGCGGTGCGGGGCAGCCATTTGGGGGTGGGCACGGAGATGCAGCCACTCAGCAAGGCCGGAGGGGCTGTTGCAGGGGGAGAGGTGGGAAAGGGTCTGGCTGCAGCCTCTGGATGTGGGATAAGGAGGGGGGGGGTGCGGGGAGGGAGCACCGCAGTTTCACCCTCTCCTCCAAGCTGGGTCACAACAGATGTGTTCACGGCACGTCGCCTGCCCTGGGCACACTCGCTGCAGAGCGAGCACAGCCACGGAAAGCAGTCCCAACTCCACGCTCACGGAAAACCCCATGAAGTTTTATTGCTGCCCTTCAAGCCGAGCCTCTTCTCCCTTCCAGCAGCCTGTTTTCACCAGTGGGATAAATATTGCTGATTTACCCCTGAGCAGAACAGAAAGCCCCAGCCCACACACCCAGGGCAGCATGGGGACTCCACAAGAGGCAAGGAGGGCAACAGGGCCCCTATCACCCCCCCAGAACAGCACCCACATATTTACAGCATCACTATAGAACAGCCAAGGCCATTTGCCCGTCAGACCAGCACAATCCACAGCAGAAGGTGCCTGGCACTGCCCAGCTCTTCTCTCTGGGAGCAGCCCCCTGTGGCAGTGTGGATTCTCTGGGGTCTCATAGAGGGTGATGGCACAGCACCGTCGCTCCCTGCGACCCACCAGCTGTTTCCACACAAGCTGGAGAACCCCAGGGTGTCTCAGGACCTTCCCTCTCTCCTTTGGCTAAACCAAATGGACAAATCAAAAAGCAACAGAGGAGCACGTTGGAGAGATCCCACACATAGGCTGTGTTTTCTTAGGAAATCAGGTTAAAAGCCAGGAGTTTTGGGGAGGCTGATTTTGCTCTCCTATCCCCACTTTCTCACAGGACATACACTCCCCTCTCATTTGACTGCCTGGCACTACACAACTTGCTATATTAGAAGCCAGAGCTGGCCTTAATCTACGGCTTTGCGTGGGCTGAGCAGTGCCGCAGACCTCTGGGGACACAGGCAATGTTACGGCACTTTAAATCCAAGGGAAATCCACCCGTTTGGCTTCCCCTGATCACTCCATCGGGAGAGACAGGATGGAGACAGCCTATTCCAAACCCATCTCGGGCCAAACGCAAGCTCCACACTTGCTTGGCCCGCAGGAGCTCACCAGGACGAGCCGCTGTGGCCAGCCCAGCTCCCCAGAAACCTTCTGCCTGCTCCCGTTCACCCAAGTGCCCATCACCGTGGCATCTGGAACCTTGCAGCCCAGTTTACACCATCATCCTCTCCCGCACCCACCACCTGTGGGGAAAAGCCTGGCAGCGGGGTGGCCTCTTTCGACAGGGTTTGTTTTGTTGCATGAAATGAATTGCTGCGGTGTAGGTGTGGGAGAAGCCGGGCACACGGAGTATTTCTGGGGGAGCAGCTGGCTGGGGATCCCTGGCTTTGCCCATGGGGACAAGGGGGAGCAGCCGGCAGCTCAGCCTCCCACCAACCTCGCTCTCCCTCCCTGCCACAGCAGTTTCCCCAGGGATGGATTTGGCCCTTCCTCCTCGCCAAGCCGCGGCAGCGCTGGCAGTACCACAAACCCCGTCAGCGCCAAGCTCTTGCACTTTCACTTCATCTCACCCGCTGGGATTTGTCCCAACGTCTTCGCAGTGCCAGGGTCAGTCCCTGGCAGCCCCGTGGGTGGGGAAGGTTTGCTCTGGGCGAGGAGGACGTAAGACCCCTCAAAAGCCACTGGCACTTGCACCCCAAACTCTCCTGCACGATGCACAGTGCTGGCAGACCCCCTGCCCTGCGGGCTCCGGCGAAACCAAAATAGATCTTTTCAGAGGCAATAAAGACATAAAGATAAAGGAGAAAATAAAAGCAGTACTGGGGGTGGCAGAAATGCACAGGGACAAGGCTCTCCTGCACAAAAAAGCAAGTTAAAAAGAAATCCGAGGTATTGATCTAGTCCCAAACAAGTCAAAGTGAAACCTGCCAGTAATTTCATGGGCCTTTAAACTCCAGTCCCCGTAACCTGCCAGCAAAGCCCGACAGCAGACAGGGACATGCGAGAGCAGACAGCGCCAGGTCCCCACGCCGGCCACCTCTTCCTCCAGCTGCTTTTCCTACCTAAGCGCAGCAACCCGAAAAGTCCCCAGGCCACCAGCCCACGACTCCAGCACATCTTGAATCAATTTGCAACAACAATATTGAAATCGCAGCTCGACAACTCATCCCTGTTTCCTTGACAGTAAATCCCAGCCCGGGCAGCAATGACTGTGTTATTGCCGCTGTGGGATCCAGCGGGTCCAGGTTCTCTGCGGGTGACCCCACCGGGACTTGGCACGAGTGGGACTG